AAACTATTGACAAATGAAATTAAATTAAAACTTCAGAACGAGGCAAAAATTGCATCAAGTTGTATATGGCAAGCTTACCAACCAAACATTTCCCATCTGTTGGTATTGGAAAACAGTGTTTCCTTCTTCTGGGTTGAGGGTACAGATATTACATCATGCCTGGCTGCAGGGTCATCATCTGATGTGAAATTAATTGGGAAAACTAATGCAGATGAATTTCAGCTGTGTGTAAGGAGATATGTCAGAATCTGTGTTTCTCACTCTGTTTATTATTATCCATCTTTCTATCATTGTTCCTTATATTTCTACATCTTTGTTCTTAATTCATCTGCATATGTATCTATCGTATTTGTGTATGTATCAGTCTGTTTGTTATTTCTCTATCAGTTTGTTCTTAACTTCCTCCAACAGCCTTTCCATAACTCTTGAGGTGTTGATAAGCTGTAAAACAAAACCACCAACCAACCTCTCTATGTCTCCCTCAGTCTGTTGATAAGAGTCTCAGCTTAGTCTCTCTCCAAAACACTCTCCTCCAGTTTCTCCAGATCAATTTATTTATATTTCTCTTCCTTATAAAAGTGTAGGCTGTTTTCCTTGTAACATTAAGTGTACTGATAAAGGAGAAGGTTATGTTGAAAAACAAGTATTTGTTGGATAAAATGTTGAATAAAATAAATACCATTTTCATTATAATGCTATTAACTATTGATATATAGGTGTCCATAAAGGCTATGTGCAATTTAAAATACTTAATTATTTTAAATTGCACACATACTTTATGGACATGCTATATATATATATATATATTACATGAATCATTCATACAAAAATTAGATTAGTAAAGTTATTGATATAAATGGTGAAAAACATCTTCGCAAACAAATTTATTAAAGTTACATTAACCCACGAACTTCTCGATGAATGTTATGATCCTTGTTTTTAATAACTTCAAGTTGTATAAGTTCTTTTTTTTTTATTTTGCTAGTACTTTCAGCTGTACTTACAGCCATCCTCAGGCATGGAAATTAATTTGTTTTTTTAGTAAATCCATATTTTGATTAACATTTAATCTTTCATGTCCCGCTACTACATGGATTTACTAAAAAAACAAATTAATTTCCATGCCTGAGGATGGCTGTAAGTACAGCTGAAAGTACTAGCAAAATAAAAAAAAAGACCTTATACAACTTGAAGTTATTAAAAACAAGGATCATAACATTCATCAAGGGTTAATGTAACTTTAATAAATTTGTTTGCGAAGATGTTTTTTGCCATTTATATTATTAACTTTACTATTCTACTTTTTGCATGAATGATTCATGTAATATAAATTGAAATGCACCACATATTTGATATATATATATATATATATATATATATATACACACACATATATATAAAGAAATATAGTTTTAAGGTGTACTGTATTTATGGGATAAAGTGCTCAATATCAGAGATAGTGTATGTAGATAAAAATATAAAAGTGAACATTGAAGTCAACAGGCTGTTTCATGCTGGGGGCAATCGTCAGGCTGCCCGATAGGATCCAGCATAAATATAGTGGAATAGTAAATACATAAGGTAATTTGGAAAACATCTACCAACTGTCATATATATATATATATATATAACTATACTCGTTTCGAAAAACCTTCGAATTCTTGATTTGCCAATAATCAAATCAATCATGATAGAAAAAAAGGTTTTAAAAAAAGAAAGAGCTATAAACATGAAAGTCTGTCAAAAAAAATCACACAGATACAGGTTTAAAGCCCAAAGAAAAAAAACCAACATGAGTAAACAACTAACTAAAAGAGCTCAATACAACCGTACAGCAGACCTGAGTGGATTGCCAGGGAAAGCCGGCTTTCCCTGACGATCCGCTTAGGTGAAACCTGGTTAGGTTTGTCTGGCTCACTAGGTTTATATATATATATATATATATATATATATATAATGACAAACAAACACTTAAAAAATCATAGGTGATATTTTATTTCATTATGACAGTTATATTATTTAAGTTGTGAATGTGTGATTTCTAGGAGTGTTGGATTAAGTGCATAGACAAGGAATGAGATTGTTAAAAAATAATATTGGTTGGGTAATTATTAAGCTGCAGATTTATTGATTAATGTCAAAGGTACTGATATGATGGATTTAGGGCTGATGCTTTCATAGTCTGGCCCAAGACTACAAATAGTAGTTAATGTAATCTGTAGAAGAAACTTATTTATTTATTCTTTCAGATTAAGTTTCCAGTATAGAAATAGAAACATGAGATGTAGGTGTGGGTAGGTGTTTTTATATTCAAGGTCAAATAAGACTTGGCATAAGCTTGTAAAATCCTTACCTCATAAGAATAATGAAGAGAAAAAATAGAAATATGTTAGATTCTGTGAGGATTACCAGTGTTATACTCATTAAGGTTCAACATTTGAAATGTTTCAGATTTCGAGATAGAAAAGAACAAAAGTGTGATTAAGTAGTGGGGTTCAGGGTTGATTTATTTTAAATAATAAAAACCCCCCCGAAAACTTTGGTATCTGATTTCTCACCCATGGCAGTTGAGGGGAGGGGCCATAAATACAATGAAACCGAAATGGTTCAGGCATATGGGATTTGGCACTGTTGAGGCAAAAGTGTTAGAAATGGGAATTGGTATATAGATAGTTGAAGTTGACAAAGTCATAGTGGGGAGGTTAGAGGAAATAGAAGAAGATAAAGAAATTAGAGAGAAAGGCAAGAACTTGTTCTTGTAGTCAAGGAGAGAGAGAGAAGACAGTGATGAGTGCATTTGATTTTCAAAGCAATTACAACTTAGAAGGTACATTTATGAAATCTGTCCAGAGCATAACCACCCATTTTGAATATCTCAAAAGCCAGTTGCATAGCCTTGAAATCCTATCAGAGGAAACCTTAGTGCACATGTATGAACAGAAGATCTCTCATGAGGTTACTCAGCTTTCAGTGAGACACTACTGTGTGTGCTTAGTGACAGCAGCATTTACAACTGTTGAGCAAGTAAATTCTTTATGACTTGTGCATGGTTTCCGCACCTCTATAGTCCAGATTTATCTATTGTCAGTTCAGTCAAGGTCATTTTCTGTTGCCATGCAGAACATGACAATACCATTGTGAAATTCAAGAACACCATTTTTTGACAATTGGAATAATCGGCAATAACAAGAAAAATGTCTTGCTCCACAAAGAAATTGCCTCCAGTATGCAAAAACATAGACAGCAGGCATTTGATATATCCAAACATTTCCAGACGAAATATGTATTTTAAATATAGAAAATTTTTTTTATAAACATAGGACCAAATACAAGGAGATAGAAAGCCTAAAGTTCTCATGTATAGTTAGCTTGAGAGTGGAAAAAGGAAATTTTGGATGGCCATAGCTTGAGAGTGGAGAAAGAAATGTTGGATGGCTATGGCATTTCAGTGAGGAAAGAAATGTAGCATGGCTATAGCTTGAGAATGGAAAAAGGAATGTTGGATTTCTTGAGAGTAGAGAAAGAAATGTTGGATGGCTTGAGAGTAGTGAAAGAAATGTTGGATGGCTTGAGAGTAGAGAAAGGAATGTTGGATGGCCTTGACTTGACTATCTATACGCTATCAAAATTCATGAATAACATCATCACTTCATACCGACCCACCAATTACACTATCACATTTATCCATGAATTCCTCCAAATTTTAAAACAAAAAGCAAACCACGGTATCATAGTGTCACTTGACATGAAAAATTTATTCACAAATGTCCCCATTGATCAAACCAGGTAAATTATCCTCAATTCTGTGTACACTAATAATTCTATCTCACTGCCTTCCATCAAACCATTACTACATGCATGCACAACCAAAGTCCCATTTTATGACCATCGTCGCAACATTTACTTCCAAACTGATAGTATAGGAAATCTACTTGACCATTGCTTCTCCAATTATTACATGTCCCATGTAGAAAATATGATATTTAAACAAGTCTGTAAACATAAAATATGTATCTCCTATGTAGACGATATTTTTATTTTAGTGAATAACAAAAAAAGTACTCTCAAAAACACAGTTGAAATAACCCTGTCCTTGACTTTAACTACAAACTTAATCAAAAAAATAAACTCCCATTCTTAGATGATCTCGTAGAATAAACAACACTTTTACCACCTCATTGTATAAAAAAAACTCACTAGCAGAAACTCTTGCCACGTTAACTTTAGGAGTGGATACTCACTCAGATACAAAATAGCAGTGATAAAAACTTCCTAAAAAGAGCACACCAGAATTCAAACTCTTGCCTACTCTTCCTTAAAGAACTCAACAATGCAAAACAGATACTAGTTAACAATGGCTTCCCTAACCACCTTATAGACCACCAAATTAGACTATTTCTTCCCAAAGTAAATAACGATGCTAATGAAGTAAAAAATAATGTATTTTCTACAAAAGCCAAATGCATGTCAACTATAAACAAGAAAAAAATTACCTCACAACTGTCTTCCAACAAAAAACATGAATATTCTATAAAAATGACATCAACAAGATTGCAAAACGATGGGAGACAGTTGTTATGAAGTACAGGGCTACAGATAAAAGGAACAGTTTATGTGGATATGTGGGGAAGATAACAGTTAACCCTAGACTTGAACAGGTTACCTCCAGTTAGCATAATGGAATATTTCACTATTAAGAAGGGAAGATCAGGCTGCATGACCAATAAATATATAAATTCATACTGTGCTTCATATTTCTTTATCACTTTGACTAAAAGATAAATTAATTTCATTGATGTAGTGTCATAGTAAATAAAGCCCTATAAATATTGTATTTCATTCTTTTCTCTTTGTAGACAGTATTAGCGGTCACTGATTTTGTTTGCCAAAATTTGGGAAAAGAGTTTGTGGAGAGCCCACCGATGGATCTTCAAATGTTGTATAATGATATGAGCAAAGACGTGCCTTTAGTTTTTGTACTCAGTACTGGTTCTGATCCAATGGGTGCTTTCCAGAGATTTGCCAAAGAAAAGAACTACTCAGACAGGTAATAATAATTGTTTTTTTTTTTCCTTCTTTTATGTGTTATGTCCCTTTAACATGTGGGTAATCATGGCCCTCCACAACTACCTGGTATTTGCTACTCTAAGTGACCCTTTACTATCCATCATTGTCTTGTCAGCCATTCACAGAAACTCATTAAATAGATTATTCATTGTTTTACCTGCTTCTCTTCCTTTCAATATCTTTTGGGAGTATTAGATTCTCTAGGCCCTCTTTCCTCATTGTTTGTCTGGCAAATTTCGATCTTTTTTTTTTTTGATAGCAAGAATAAGTTTCTTTATAGTTCCTATTTTCCTTAAAACTTCCCCATTGATCAAATCAAATGTTTTATACATGTTTTCCTTGAACCGCATCTCTACCACTATTTCATGTGTGAAGAGGTTATCATGCCTACAGTGTTCATAATAAGCATTTTTGTCATCTGATATTCCACATTATAACACATTCTTTTTCTTTTATGTGCCATGTCCCTTCAGGTCATAGGCAATCGTGGCTTGCCACTTCCCCAGATCATTGTATTTCTCAATATGTTTTGTCCTTATGCTACTTCTCCAAAACCCTGTTCAGCCATCTACTTGCTTAAGCCCACTAGGTATGCTACACATTGCTTTCTCTTGTCTCTCTTTCCCTATATCTGCCCTGTGAATATCATATTCTCCAATCCCTCCTTTCTCATTATGTGTTCCAGAAATTTCAGCTGCCTCTTCCTGATATTAATTATAAACATCCTCCTTATTTAAATTCTCTCCAAAAACTCATCGTTGCTCACATGTTCAGTCCATGGTATCCTCAGCATCCTTCTGCAGAACCATACCTCCATTGCCTCAAGTCTCATCATCATCTTTGAGGAGACCATGCAACATTCGCTGCCATCAAGGAGGACAGATATCTTTGTTACCAATGAAATCTTCCTATCTCGTAATAATCTGCCTAGCTTTGAAATGCGTCTTTGGCCATCCCAATACCTCCTCAGTGTCACACTTACCGTCCTCTGTCAGAACACTTCCCAGATATTTAAATTTCTGCATTTGCTTGTAAATCGCATTTTGGGCTCATCATTTTACTGATGACCATAAAATGATTTTATGGAATTATCTAAATAGGTCAAAATAATCTGTTAAATTTTTTTAAAATTACCAAATTATTTAAGAAAAGTGAAAATAATAGTTGAATTCATTTTTATTATTAATATAAACATTACAAAATTATTTAACTGTTTCTTTCATGGTTAGCATTTTATATCTATGTCGAGAGTAGGAAATTTAAGTGAACTTAACATAATAACAAAAATGAACTTATAAAATAGATGTATTGTTGAAAATGTCATTTATACAGTAAGTAGTTTTGAAATGATTTCATCTCAGTCAAGGCAATAAAGCCACTAAGATGCAAGGGGTTACTGAGTGTGAGAAGATATGTGAAAAATATACTATTAAGGAGAGAGGACAATAAAAGAACAAGAATTAAGAAGACAAAAGATAATGATTGATGTTGCCTTTAAATTTTGAAGATCAAAATTGACTGGGAAGCATGAACCAAGAATTCAACAAATAAGAAGTGTGAAAGAAGGAACTGTTAGCATAGAACTTATGGTTACATCTAGCGGCCATTTCAACTGTAAAATGATGAGACCTTGCCTTTACTCTAGTACTGTGCTTAAATTCATCAGAACCATTACCATAAGAGTATTTATAAAAAATAAATATATAAGAAGAGGACCAGACCGGATGTGGCAGCAGTATTCAAATGGTAAGATAAGAGAACTTTTATAAAACTTAGTTTACTCTGACTGTAAAAAAAAAAAAAAAAAAAAAAATTTCCTTTGAAAAACACTTTAAAATTAAACAGAACAAACACTAAAAGAATGATAAAACTCAGTTTGTGCCAAAAATTGAAAATGATAGACTTGTGAAAATAATTCAAATATAAAAGATTTGATAGCATATAATACACCCCCCTACACACACACACACACACACACTTAATCCACCCCAAGCCAAAAAAGTGATAATGCTACTAAGATGCAATGGGGTGGGGGAAGGATACTGTGAGTGAAAGGTGGGGACTACTGGGACTGAAAGTGAAAAAGACAACTTCAGACTGAAACGGTACGAAATCCTGAACAGGAAACAAGGTATAAACCTCTACTCCTGTTCAAAAGACAAGGGAGGAATGTGAACCAGACTGTAAGCAAATATAACTGCTCTTATTAAGAAAGAAAAAATAGTAAATAAAATTTCAGAGTTTAGGCAGAGATGTTAGAATTATAGAATTCAAGTACACTTTCAAAAGAACCAAGAACACAATCCTAAACAGGAAAGAAGTGTCAAACATCTACTCCTGTTTAAAAGAACAGGGTGGCGTGTGAACCGGCTAGGTGGGAGGGGGGATTATTTTTTAAGGGAATTTTCAGAACCCTGTCCCCCACTGGAAAGAAAAACTTATTAAGACTACCCTCTTTAGTAATTTTTAACTTTTTGTCACTTTAAATAAATTTCAAACACTACCATTTATTAAGATTTGTGTTTGAGAATGTTTCCCTTAACATAATGATCTTAACCTTTTCAAATGTAAGGGAAACCATTATTTATCCTATATATCTATTCCAGCATGCACTTCTTACTCCCTCTTTGTATGCTCTTACAGTAATAAAACTCAGTAACTCTCTACCATGAGTGGCTCTTGGGCAATGTTTTGATTGAACAATAGTATAAAAAATTCTTTGTTATACATTGATTTTTCCCTTTAGTTTACTGAGGAGTAAAAACAATTGAGGAGGCATAGCAGAGTAATGGATAGCAGCTTGGATTGAGGAATTGGAGAGCCAGGTTCAAATTCCAGTCAAATCCATTACATTCACTTATGTGCTAATACCCTTGGGAAAAAGTATGAATCCTCTTCTTCTTCCAGCTATAGATAAATAGCGGAACAGATCAGGTTCTATAGGTTTGGATGGCAACTGGTCTACGACAGAAAAAAATGGCAATCTACTGCAGAAAAAAAAATCTGCCTCGTCAGTCATGTATTGAAAGATACATGTTTGCCTAAGTGTGTATCACGCATGGCACATAACTGACTGAAAAACAATTGTTTTAATAAGTCAGTCAAGGCATTGAACATATACCTTATACACAACGAACCTCAAATTTGACTTTAACTCACCTTATACCCAAAAAACCTCAAATGCTTTCATAAGTCTTTCTTCTCTTGATGGAATATTTGATGGTGGTTAGATTTTTTGTAATGTCTGAGTCTCTGTGAAGGACCTTCCAAATTCATCCATATATAGCATGTCTTCGGCAAAGTAGACTTGGCAGAGACAATTCCTCGCTGGCTTTTAGTTTGCTGTATATATGTCACGTCTTTAATAAAGTCTAAAAAAGATGTAGAAATTACATTATATGTGGCTCTATTCCCAACAAAATCAACAATAACCTGTATTTAATTGGAATTTATGTTTCAACTGAGTAATTGTTAACACACACAGACACACATACCTCCTCTTTCTCAATCTTATTCTCTTCTTCCTGGGTATGACAATAAACTATATCCATGTTCTGGGGAAGATGATAAACGACATCTGACAGCAAGGCCTCTGATCAGAAGGTTTTGTGGAGCATGGAACCACCTCTCAATTGCTGGTGCTCCCAGGTCCACCCTGGCCCAGGGTGGTAGCACCTGTTACCTAACAAGTGTAAATAATTAACCCCCAAACTGGGGTCAAAACACTCTGAAAGTGTAAAACTAGGTTTTAATACCAGCAATACATTTTTGGGAAAAAAATATTAGCAGCAATACATTTTTTGAAAAAAAAATTATAATCAATAAAAATCTTTCCGGCATTAAATAACCCATTGAGGTTGATATACCGTAAAGCAAAACAACCAAACTATTCTCATTCTCTTTCAGTTTCACTCCCTGTAACCCTCTAATTTCTAGTGGCATTATTGCCTTGCTTGGGATGAAATTATATATATAAAATAATAATAATAATAAGTACAGATGGTCCTTAAAAATCAATTTGGTTATAATTTATTTAATGGAGATACAAAAATATATTCATCTCTTCAGACTGATGTTTCTTTAATAAATGGAGTCAATTTATTCAGACTAAAGAAAAAGGGAGAGGAAAAAAGAAAAGGAAAAAGTTTGATATTTAAAGTGGAAGAAAGAAAAAGGAAAATTTCAATATAAGGTTATAAAAAATTTTTTTTTGGGGGGGAAGAGAGAGGGGAGGGGAGAAGGAAGGAGAGAGTGAGAGTGGGAGGGGAAAAAGTTATTATTATTATCAATTTAAAATTGTGATGATTATAATGTAATGGTGATGATGGTTTCACTGTTAAAAATGACATGACAATTCAATGTATCTACTTTGAATCTGATAGCTCCCCTTCCTTCCTTTTAAGTTGTCCAGTCTTTAAAGAGAAAATCATTTCTAGGTCACCCTATCAGCCCATGTCTAATAGTTAATCCCCAAAGTGGGGTCAAAACACTATGAAAGTGTAAAAATAGGTTTTAATACTAGCAATACATTTTAGAAAAATTATTACCAGCAGTACATTTTTGAACAAAAAAAAATTAATTACCAGCAAACATATTTTTGAAGAAAAAAATTATTACCAGCAATACATTTATAAAAAAAACATAATCAGCAATAAAAATCTTGTCAGCATTAAATAACCCATTGAGGTTGATATGCTGCAAAACAAACCACACCAAACATTATTTGATGCAAAATTGAAGCATTTTATAATCCGTTTTCAGCACAGGTCAGCAACAACCACTTCAGGAGTCAGTACTTTCAATTTAAAAAAAATATAGTAAAAAATCATTTTCACCAAGTTAGAAGTAAATACTTTTAACTTAAATAAGGAAGATGTCTGGATCAATGGCAAGCCTTGAAAGGACCTGAAAACCATACGTTTGTGTACGTATGTCATGCAAAACTACTGCCTTTGTTTACAGAAGAACGCACATGTTTTC